TTCATGTGACCTCCCTCTCACTTTTGACACCGAGAAAGGAGGATAGCCAGAAACAATGATTGCACAATGGTATAACTTTATTATTTATTCCTTTCCATTTTAAAAATGTGTGCATCTTGCAACCAATGTGGAATAGGAAGAGATGCCTCTGGTGTCTTTGAGGACGAGAAGCTTCCTAGTCACTGTTTCCTTTTGTCCTGTTTTAGCACAAATGTTGATATTATGCAGCCCTTGGGAAACGATTTTAGTACAAAATGCTAATGTTGCTTCTGTGAACATTTTTATTTCAAGGACAATCGGAAGCATGAATATTTCTCTAAGTGAGGGTTTCTGAAGAAAAAAAAAAAACCCAAAGGATATGTATATATTTAGAGCTTGATTCCAAGCAAAACATTGTAATTAGTTTTGCTCAAGATTTCACAATGCTTGAGTCAAAGAAAGATATCTGCCTGTCTATATAGATGCAAATGCACATTGGCTGTGTATGAATTTAGAGGCCTATTCTCCAGGGTTTCTCCTCTGTAGTACAAAGTCAATTTGTCTCTTAACTTGCATGGAAAGGAACATCTTTCTAAGTCAGTGGTTCTCAACCTTTTTAATGCCGTGACCCCCAACCAGTCGTAAGTCGAGGACTACTCAACGGGTGCAGCACCGTTTGCAGAATGGGATTTTTGGCAGGCCCAGCAGGGCAGAGACAGCCTGGACAATTCCTATTGGCTTTTGAAAGCCAATAGAATTAGACTCTATTCAAGAGAGTCTATTCTATTGGCTTTCAAAAGTCAATAGAATAAAAGGGAGTAGCACAGCTAAGGAAAAGGGGGAAAAAATGGCGGACTGCATTGTTTGGCGACCCCCGTGAAATGGTCATTTGACCCCAAATGGGGTCCCGACCCACAGGTTGAGAACCACTGTTCTAAGTGATGGAATCAACTTGGCATTGCATTCTTACCATGTATTCTTCGCACACAGCATTTGCATGCAAACAGCTATCGGCAGATTTGCTGTTGTCCTTGACAGCAAAATTATTCAAATCAGGGACCGACTCCTGGCTTCATGCCCATGATATCCATATTAATATTGCTAATATCAGTTAATCCGGCGTTAATATGTGGCATCAATGGCGTTTTTGCCCCCCCAAAAAATAATGAACAGTTGTTTGAACAGGTTGGGTTATTGTTCTTAACTGTACAATTCTGGTTCTGAAAGCAAAGTTCTCATTAGTACGAATGTCTGTGGAGACTGTGAGTCATCCAGGTCGTGGCTGATCCAAAGGTGTTTTTTCAAAAGGACAATGGACTTGGTTTTGCTTTGAAGAATTTCGCTTCTCGTCCAAGAAGCTTCTTCCGTTCTGCTGAAATGAAGAAGTGAAGAAGTGAAGAAACGTCTTGGGTGAGAAGCAAGGAAAAACAAAGTCCAAAGTTGCTTTTTGGAAAAGCACCATTGGTACTAATTAGTACTATTTTTGCATACACCACCTCTCTTATTTTATGCATACATGAGAAAGCTTTGGTCAACATGGCTCTTGCACCTATAATAATAATGTCTAGCCAGCTTATTTCAGTTGCGAAGGGTTCATTTACTCCCTTACTCTCCTTTTTCACCAGTAACCATTCTTTTTCTTCTTTTTTTCTCCTCTCTGACACATTCCTTTGCGTTTTCACTTTATTTCTCATACTAATTCGTATTGCTTCTCCCAACATCATGTAATTATGGACCCCAATCACTCCTGGCTCTTCTCTGAGTTTGGAACACATGACTCATTGAATCCCCGCTGGCATAGATACTGCATGGATTTCTCCACCTCTGTAGAATGCAAGGTTATTTTTTTTCCTATTGTTGTTTTATCATCCACTTCTCTCCGTGCTTGTTTATTTTAGAGGAATTAAACACGCAGACTCCAACACTAACCCAAAACGAAGGAAATTATTTCGAAATAATTTCACCAGAGTCTAATGCAATGTAACAAATCCTGTTTTTGGTCACTTTGGGTTAGGATTAACCATGACGGTCCTAAGTCGAGGTACTCACATATCTGGACCCAATTTTAGGACCGTTTTTGCAGTGGTCATTAAATAAATTACTGGGCTGTAACTCCAAATCCATTCTCCAGAAGGATTTTTTTTTTGTTTTTGTTTTTGCCAGAAATTGGCAAAAAAAAAACAACAACCCAAAAACCATTGGAAACTGGCTTAAAAAGATGCAAATCATGGTCACATGACCGCAGGATGCTGCAACCAGTTGTAAACGTGAGCTGGTTGTCAAGTGCCCAGAATGCAATGATAGGACTGTGTAAGTGTAGCTATCTGTGTGTATCTTTCTCTCTTTGTGTGTGTGTGTGTGTGTGTGTGTGTGTGTGTGTGTGTGTATGAGAGAGAGAGAGAGGGAGGGAGGGAGGGAGGGAGGGAGGGAGGAAGAGAGAGAGAGAGAGAGAGAGAGAGAGAGAGAGAGATTTTAGGATGCCTGCAGCAGTGGTGGATTTTCACGGATATTACTAAATATATTTTGTCCTCCATTCCATCGATATGGTTTGCTTTTCTTTTGTGTGCTTTCTTTTTTTTCTTCTTTTTTCATTTGTTGAGCTGGCTGAGTTTTTTTTTATTATTAGCATCTTCTCCTTTCATATTGTGCTGCACAAGAAATGCATTTTTCCTTTTTCCCTTCTAAATTCACAGCTTCCCTTTGTCAGGCCTGCTTGGGCAACGTAGTGTCCGTATCTCCTATGAAAGATTTATGTTCACTGATTCAGTTGATTCCAATTCCATTTAGGCTTTGTTGTTTTCTGTCAGTCTTAATGGGTTTTACGTGTGTAGCACCGGAACATAGCTTAACACACTGCATTAAATATCCCTCTGTGGAGATTCTCAGTCATTCAAGTCATGGCTGCCCCAAAGTTGCTTTTTCAAGAGGCAACTGGACTTTCTTGTTTTTCTTGGAAGACATTTCGCTTCTCATCCAAGAAGCTTCTTCAGCTCTGACTAACCCTTCCATTCCCCACCATCCAGGTAGAGTTGAAGAAGCTTCTTGAATGTTCTGGTGCTAGCCCACATAAAATCAGTACTCAGACCAGAATTCTAAAATATATTCTACTATTTGCATCAAGTATATAGACTCCACCCCGCTATGTAACCTCTGATATTATTAACTTTCTAGTTTAATTAATCAACTGTCACTGATATCATTAATATGGGGAACTATCTGACGGCTATTGTTGGCTATTATTCTCTTAAGAAAACAACAGCCAGTAATAAACAGAGCAAAGTTCTCTTGAGGAGAACTTTGATGTTTGTTAACCCAAGGTGAGGACATGTTTAAAGGCAGATTAGATAAATGCATGGAGCAAAGAAGGATCATTGTTCAGAGCCAATATTTCCCAAGACTTTGTGATGCTGAGAAATGATATGGCGAATTCTGTCATCGTCATTATCTGCTTGGGAGCTTCAACAGACATTTGGCTTGGCCACTGTTAGAAACAGAATGCTAGATGAGATACGTGTGATAGCTCCAGCAAGGCATGTGATGAGAAGACCTTTGTTGAACTATGATACGATTCCCATCAACCAATTGACTGATTTGACTGCAGTTTATGAGACTTCACCAACATCTGTAGGATTCACCAGTGTTCTTATTCTACCAGGTTTGCTTGATGGCATTTTTCCTTCACCTAATCCTTTTCTTGTGAACATTGCACTGTTTTGACGATGCAGATTGAAAATTATCCTTTCCTTCAAGTCATTCAGTGTGTCATCCTGAGACTGTCATGGGTGGGTTGATGACGCTTTCGTGGTGCAAATACTACTATTGAGAATAGTTTTTCAAATTATTCAATTGTTCTCCCACCTCTGTGATTTCTAAGTGTTACATTTAAGCTGCTATAATTTCTAGCCAACATGGACCTTGACCAACCTCCCTATGGCTTTTGCTATGGATTTCAGAAGTAGCTGACTGACTTTTGGTGCATATCTGATCAGTTGTTCAGTTGTAGTGGGAGACTACTATATATTGGGGAGGTGGCAGAAGAAGCGTGTTATTGTCCATGGAGAACAAAAATCGTGAAGGGCAGTGGGAATTATGAAATGAAAGGTGACATTGAATCTCAAATCTCCATACCCAGTCCATAAAGCAACCATAAAGATGTAGCCCTAGGAAGTCCACTCAATATAACTCTATTCAACCTCTTAGGATCATGTGCTAGTGATAGTTTCACATAAGGGTATCCTACATAGATGTGGCTTCACATTGCGATCTCTGCTGGTCTGCAAATCCTGAAACCTGGATAGGATGGAAGTCCTATCCAGACAACATACTTAATTGGATCCATGATGGGGTAAGCATTTTGTAGGGACACCACAAACCAATCAGAAGAAAAGAAGAGTAGTCTTAATACAATACAAAAAGCCTTTTCATTATAGAACTCATTGTCAAGGCCTCTCAAACACTCATCAGATGCAGTATTCAAATCATGCTTCCTATTCCAAGCGGTGCCAGTGAGGAGGGAGCTGATGAGATTGTAAAGTCTTGGCAGCATTTTCTTGGTGAAAAGGCTTCTACTTCCTGGAAAAGTTCCAATTTTTAACTCAGTCATTGTCTAACTAGTGGAAACAGATCAGCAGCTTCCTGGAACTTTGAGTAATCCTATGTCATTCTCTGAATTGCTACGATGGTTGAAATATTTCAGAAAGTTGCAAGCTGGGCAGATAAATGAACGGGTAAATTGTACTCGTCCGATGTGGTGAAGAGGTGTCCTATCCAGATCACTTCTCGTTGTGTGATACATGTTCTAGAATCTAGATAACGATAGTCTTCACCCTTCCTGTGAAGAGAAAGGCAACTTTGTATCATGGCTTCCTTGTATCTGCTTGTTTCACAAATAAGTACTTCATTTCTGTGGCTAAGAAGAAGAAATTGTGGATCTGGGGTTAAACGTCAGCCAGGATGTTGGGGGGAGGGCGGGCCCGATCTCATTAGCCATGTTACAGTGCATGTTACTTTCTGCATTGCAGTAACCTTCCTGTTAAAGACCCTCATGTAGACAGTGCCTCTCCAGTCTATCAGGCTGTGCTTAAAACTCAAAACAAGTCTGAAGATGAGCTGGATGATTGGAGCCGTCGATCTTCCAACTTGCAGTCAAAGTCCTTCCGAGTCCTTGCTCAGATGACAGGAACTGAGTACAGTAAGTCCAGCTGGGATGCCCAGTTCACCTCTTTCGTGGAAACCTTCCTTTCTCCTCACTCCGTTGGGTATCAGCTATCGGTGCTTGCTGGCTTACACACACACACACACACACACACACACACCAAGAAAGATAAACAGATGGACAGACAAACAGAAAGACATACAGAGAGAGACAGAGAGAGAGAGAAATAGGTGATAGATGATAGATAATAGAAGATAGATAGGGTGGGTAGACAGACAGACAGGCAAGCAGGCAGGCAGACAGACAGACAGGTAGACAGACAGACAGATAGACAGACAGACAGACAGACAGACAGACAGACAGACAGACAGATAGATAGATAGATAGATAGATAGATAGATAGATAGTCTTCTTTAGGTTAGGCCTCCAGGTCTCTGTTATAAAATAAAAATCTTTTTATTTAATCCTTAACTTTAAGGGGAAATAATTTTAGGAGAGCCTTTTTGTCCCTCCAATTTATTATACTTTTTCCAGGCTGTATTCTGTAATATTTATATCTTGCCTCATAACTAGGTATTTATTTAGCGGTTCAGAACAACTGTGCAACAGAAATGAGAAAACTATCACAGCGTTGCCAGAGAAATGGAATGCTATCATAGAATATGAAGACAATACAACTTTTCAAGAAGTCACTGAAAGATGTCAGTCAGCAGTGCTATTGTAGCCCCACTGGAAAATAATTTTAAAAAGGGGGGGGGGGAGAGAGTTCATTGTCATAAAGAAAAGGAGGAAGAAGGCAAATCCTCAGTTTCAAAGACAAGCTGAATGACGGTTTTTAAGGAACGGCCGCTTTTGTTTGTAATTCACTGTGAATCGCTACCAGATCTGAAAGGGCATTGTCGAGGTTGCCTTTCATTGGCACCACCACCCATCTTGGCCAGCCTCGGGTAGGGAAGCAAAGATGATAGAGAAGAAGCAGTGGTGCCAGGTGGAGAGGAAGCAAGAACTGTTGGATTACCACCATCTTATGGAAGACAATATGTGCAGCTCAGGGTTGAACTGTAGAGTCCATGGTGCTCTCTGAGCTTAGTTCTTTCCTTGCAGAAGTTTCCTTACCAGAATAGGTAACATCTTCAGTGTTAACTCCCTTCTACCACTGATGATCTTACCTAGTCTGGTAATGAAACATCTGCAAGGAGACAACCAAGGTCACAGACTACCAGGGACCCCCATTGCGCCATCTTACTTCCTCTGCAAAACTTCTGAGGCTTGATGAAATTGCACGTAGTAGCCCTGTTCACACAATATACTTAACTGGATCAATAGAACGTTATAATATTGTGAAAACATCAAAAGCAGCATTGATCCAATTACTTAACCCTCCTAGAAAGTTAGCGTTAGCGCACCAACATCCCAGTTTTGCCCAGACTACAACCAACTTTGCATCATAAACTGTGTTGTGGAAATATCAAAATCCTTCTTTGGAGTATTCCTCCAAGGAAAACTGTTGGAGAGAAAGCTGGATCTTCTGTTAGAGAATTTGCAGCTGGAGCACAGAACGCAGCTTTGGACACTAGCTGACTTCGGTCACAGCTGTTGAGGCCTTCATGGCCCACAGAGAAAGGAGGCAGAGATCTTTAGCGTCCAAAGACAACTTAGAAACAATTCTTGTGATGGCAACAAAACTCCCAAGGAGTTTTGATTGCCTTAGCGGTTGAACGCTGAAAGTATTTCGTAAGAATGTAGTTATGGCAATGAAAACGCCATACATTCACAAAGAGATGACAAAGGAAGGTGAATAGAAATAGGCAACTTTTAGAAGATTGAGATAGAATGTTCCTAAGATACATCGGTTCCTTTCCACAGGCAACTTGAAGTAAATTACAGCATTTGCATAATTACATAACTGAAGTACATTGTCACAATGGAGTGACATAATTGATGTAATTATATCATTCGCATTAATTTGCATCCTTTGCATCGACTGAGGCAAACGATGTAAATTAAGTCAGTTGTCCAGACTGCATCGGATATAATTCATGTTGTTATTTGAGGATGAAATCCTAATTAAAAATGTGTTGCTTGCATTTAAATGGGGAACTGTAAACCCAAGGTTTTACTATCTTCGTTTTAAAGCATTTTTGTATTCTATTTCGTGGCATTCAGATCATCAAAATTTCAAGTACAGTTCCTTCAAAATATCACAATATCGAGCCTAGATTTTATAGTAGTGATCATTGGAACAGCAAAATATGTGTTCTGCAAGATGGTACACAACCACACACCATAATTTGGGCAGAAAACCTATCTATAGAACTGTGCTGGTCTATGACCGTATTAAACATTTGATATAAGTTGACTTGGCTTGATTTACTCTATAGATCATGACAATTTCCTTGTAAACAAACACAACAAAAGAAGATTCAAAATGAGGTTCTAGTGTCATGTGAAATGGAGAAACAACTCTGTTGATTTTTCAGGAATCGATTCCTTGTCTACCTAATCATAATGAATTCTCATCAAGGTCATGTTTTGTCCTTATGTCAATAACCTTCTGGACTGCTCAACTCAAAAACAGTGATTAGGGTTGATATACTATATCCAGCGAGCATCTGAATTAAAGATTTAGCCCTGCCTCCTAAGATAAGGCAATGTGAAGGAAATTTACAAACTTGTGTTTCTCATTCTGCCTCCTCCTCTCTACAAAATTCTGAGTTCTCACTTAAATAGTCCCCCTAAACCAGGGGTGTCAAACTGCCGGCCCGCAGGCCGGATGTGTCATGGCAAAACCGCGCCCACCCCATTGCCAGCAATGGCAAAACAGTTGCAATCCATTGTGACACGTCACATGACGTTGTGAGTTTGACACCCTTGCCCTAAACCGTTGTAGATTCCTGGTGCAGACATAAAAAAAAGTCCTATAAGATAAAGGGATTGCCTCAAAGCAAGAAGTGATCTGCCAAATTTGGTGTGATTCTCCTGGCTCAACAAGTCACCTGGAAGAGACTTGGGAATGGGTGAAGATGAGAGAGGATAGGAAGATCTCCTTCTTTTGAGCTTCTTAACATTTCAGGATATAGTTTGGTTTTACCCATATTTGATGGCCCTCATTTTCAGAAATGTAGATAAATGGCCCCTCCGCCTTCTTCTGACGCTGAAAGTCTATTGAAAAAATGACCGAAGGTTTTATAGTCTCTTCCTGGACCAAATATATAACATTTCAGAAGATGATGACCTAACATTCTGAAGAGTTCAGGAGAACAGGCTGAAGGTCACTTCTCAGCCCAACTAAGAAGACCTAGGCAGCATCATTTTGACCTTTGTGTCTATACTGTGCAGGAAAAAAAAAATCTATGCCGAAATTAGATCAGAAAGAAAGAAAGTCTTCCCAACCAAAACAATAGCTATTCATACAGACTGAAGCAGGTTCCACTGCAACAACAAGATTCCAAATTTCAAACTAAGCCATGATATTAGTGGTGGTTACAATAAGTTGCAGAGGTTTTTTAAGACGAATGCAATATCCAGGCTGGACCCTGGTCTGAAACCTCACAGCCAAGCCTCCAAATAATCCACTTTTTGTAAGGCTGTCTGGATTAAACATGGTTTTGCATTCCAGCTGAATGCAATGAACAGCATGATCAATCAACCACCTATTGCTAAAGAATGAATTTATCACCAACTCTCATGAGTGAAAAGCAAAACAGCCCTTCTGCCGTTCAGTTTATTCTTATTTTTCACAATTACTAAACACTCCCTGCTTTGGGATTGGTCAGATCAAATATCAGGTAATCTGTGACAATAATACCAGTATAAATCCACTTTCCTAAAATCTTATTTGGGGGAGACTTTTGAGATTGGCAAAGCAAGGTAGAAAATGCAGAGAGGATTCAAATTAAAACTTCTCTTTCAAAACTGGGATACGATGGCCTTAGCTACAGAATGAATAGGACACCTGCTTTGTCCCCCATTCCTCAGATAAGTTCCTTTGGGAAACATGACCATAATCTAAACTGGAAGGCATGGATACTTTTTAGATAAAATGAACGATGCTGAGAGATTCCAGTAGATTTCCTCTATAGAGTGAGCCTGTCCTCGTGAAAGTAAGATGTAGTTCTTCTCCACAAACTGTAGTAAGGTTTCACTCTCCATTTGAACGTCTTGCCTGATGCTTCTCCTTCTAACATTACCAATTTTTCATCTGCAGTGCAAGATCCAGATGAGGATGCCTTGAGAAGATCAAGGTAGGCAATTAGCTGCCTTCTGGCCTTCTACTTACCGATAACAAGAACTAGCATTAATTGATTTTTTTTAATGCCCATTAGTGTTTTGACCCTTAAAAAAACCCTACTACTTCTACTCAAATCACTAAAATACAAACACGCTTTTGGTTTAACCAGACGTCCAAAGCAGACCAGATGAGAACTTATTGTAATTCCAAGGAGCACTTGATGAGAGGTTTTGGGAGAAGGATCTCCCATGGGTTGTGATGGGCTACCTTTGCCAGACAAACCAGCCTGCATGTGCTTTGCCCTACTCTGGGGTTGCAGTTTTAACAAGGGTTTACTGGGATGGTGCTGGGATTGGCTTTTGTTTCAATGGAGGTGCACAAACGTTGTCGTTCCAAGATTATGCGTAAGACAACCAAAGAGTGTCATTGCAGAAACTAAATCAAAGAGGGAAATTTAATCCATTCCCAACAAATTTATTTGAGTCGATCTTCTCACAATACTGCAGTGTGAGCACACAGGACTGCTTTTGCTACTAGAGTGAAATGTTTGTCCGTTTGCAAATCTTTAGAAGCTCTTAAGGCAGATGCAATTGCGTTGTTGGAATTGGCTTCACTTTTGTTTTGTTCTAGTTTAGTTGTGGTGGTCTGGAGAAGAGAAACCTCTTCTCTTGTTGTCATATCTCCGCCTTCCTGAATCTCTTCTTGTAAACAGGGGCCTTTGGTTTGTGACCTGGCTTATTTGTTTTCCCAAAGTTTCCATTGTGCTAACACAGGTTGGCTTTTGTTGAGTTTTGAACCCTGAGATTCCGGTGCCCAAGCTCCCGTTGTCTGTAATTGTTGAAATATATTTGCAACTACAAATGGCTGCACATGCTTTCCATGAAGGATGACAGTTGTTGTTCTAGTTGAAGTTCTCCTTCTCTCTTTGGCCTTAGAAGATCTACCAACCAAGGTCTTCACTGCATGTAGCAGAATTTTTATGGAACAGAGATCTAAATTGCTTAGGCTAGCAAATTTGTACACAGAAGACATTTCTGTGTATGAATTGTGATGTGGTCTCAGCATCTTAGTTGTCCTGTGTGAAGTTTTAATTGCATGTACACCTGCTGTTCATGCACCCAATCATCTCAGGAAAATGTACCCATCTCTTAGAGATTTGGTAGAGTCCGGTAATAGCTGTTATTATGCCAATTCTGTTTTGTGATTTAAATTAGGCTTCAGGGTGATGAGAAACATCTGGGTGGTTATAGCAGCTGGCAGTACTAACCATAGATATTTTCTTCTCGTATCTCTGCCATAGAAATACTATTACTGTTGATGGTAGAGTTGGCTACCAATAGTAGCTGGGTTACTCCGACAGCAAACAATGGATATAAAAATTCCTCACTGCTAAAACCCAAAGAAATGGGATGTTACCCAAGGAACAGAGGTAGCATTAGGCTTTTGGGGAACCAGGGTGGGACTGTCTTTAGGGATCTCCACGGAAGATTGATTTGTTCCATTTGTATGTGTGTGTTTGTGTGGGTGGTGACTTTGCATTAGGGTTGACTCCTGCTAACTACCTAGACCAGGGGTAGGCAACCTTGGCTCTTTTAGGACTCGTGGACTTCAACTCCCAGAATTCCTGAGCCAGCCATGCTGAGGGGAAAGAGAGAGGTTTCCAAGCTGAGCCATGCTGGCTCAGGAATTCTGGGAGTTGAAGTCCACAAGTCATAAAAGAGCCAAGGTTGCCTACCCCTGCCCTAGACTGACCCCTGCAATTTTCTGGGCAACAGTTTTAGAAGTGGCTTGCCCTTGTCTTTTTCTTCTTAGGGTATTTATTTTCTTTTATAGTGTGCATGAGATCAGCTTGTGGCTGAGATAAAAGAACTCTTTCTTCAGAATTAATCTGGCAAAAGGCTTTTTTTCAAAATTCATCCTTCTGTACGATGCCACAAGTCTAGAAAACTCATTATTTCTGCCTTTTTTCACAATGTGGACGTGTAGTTCATTACGCCTCCTTCGTGCAACATTTCAAAGGCAAGGCCTTTCAAAATGGCCCTTGACAACCATCCCAGCGAACGGTGCAAACTTCCACACAAGTTGCCATCATCCCAATTTAGGGAAGACTCTGCTCACAAATGAGAACAGCAGTATCATTCTTGTCTTCTCTGGTTTCATCGTGGAAATTCAAAATGGCTGAAACAGCTCCTGCAGAGCCCCCATTTTCTTTTACTCTTTCACATTTCAAAATGTTTAGATTTTTTTAAAAAACAGCTTACTTTTACTAAGTCATAGGGGCTGTCTTTTTATGACTGCAGTTTCCATACGCCTTCCCTCTCCCCCCCCCCCCAAATTACAGACTACATAGTGCTTTAAATTTACATTTCATATTGTTCCTTCGGAACGGGACTGTTGAGGTATTAATGAGTGTCAGTTTCTTGTGAGATTCTCAAAATCCTGGTCATGTAGCAATGATATATTTTGATTTGACTATGGTTTTCTTCATTTATTTTTTTTAAAAAAGAGCATTTGCTTGGAGCTCCTTATCTTTTCACTGGAGTTGTTCAACTAGAAAATTGAATAGCCCAAGCCATCTCCACCATTAAGCCATAATCCCATTTTATAAAGCACCTTGGCTAAACCCAAATCAAACATCTAATTGTGTACCCAGTCAATCATACCAGTCTCCAAAGCACCTGAAAGCAGGATAAAAAGCAAGGGATGGAAACTAACCAAAGAGAGAACCAACTTAGAACTAAGGAGAAATTTCCTGACCATGAGAACAATCAATCAATGGAACAACTTGCCTCCAGAAGTTGTGGGTTCTCCAACACTGGAGGTTTTTTTTAAAGAAGGGATTGGACAACATTTTGTCTGAAATGACATAGGGTTTCCTGCCTGGGGTTGGACTAGAAGATCTCCAAGCTCCCTTCCAGTTCTGTTATTTTATTATTCTATTATCCCATTAAGTTATAGCATGATGTGCTTGCTTTGGCTTACCATGATGTGTGAACACAGCAATCATGGCTTAGAAGGGTGTTGAGGGAAGTAGTATTGTGATATGGTTTTGTTCTAGGGATTACATGATTATTTTTGTCTTGCTCCCACCTCAGAATGCATTCTCAGTGTTTAACAATCATAATTGGACTGAGAGGTTCCTTTAAAAGCCACACACAAAAAAAGAATTTTGGGTTCTAGGTGCCTAAGTCAATTGGGTGATGACTGATGGTGAACACAGCCACAGAGTTGAAGCTAGATATCTTAGCATTATCAAAGAGCAGAACCTCAAAGTACTAGCATTAAGGGAGAGGCTTATATGGACCTCCCTATTCACTACTAGGGCATTCAGCATGTATCTTGGGTTCTATACCCAACGTCACACCCGTGAACTGATTCAGATGATGAAAGAATGTAGCATAGCATCGGCCCTTAGCAAGCATTTCACCAAAGCTATGAAAAGGAAACAAAAAAAGCTAAGAAGAGATCGCCCTGTTCCTTCGATCTGTTGAATTCTGCCCTGGAAGTCATCTGCTCTAAGATCAGGCACCGTGCCTTTTGTACCATCAAAGGAGTCCTTTATGAACTTTAACTGTATGTTGTATGTGCTTTTCTCCTTTTCATGGTAATTAAGAGCCTCTTGGTATCCATGAATGAGAAAATGAAAGAAAGAATGAGTGAATGAGCTGTAATTCATAAGATAATTGGATCTCACTTGCTAACAAATGCAGTAGTATCTCTAGCCCTACCATTGACAGAGCTCCTGGTTACTAGCTACATGATAGCAAGCTGGATTGAGGAAGGATGGATGGATGGATGGATGGATGGATGGATGGATGGATGGATGGAAAGAAGGAAGGAAGGAAGGAAGGAAGGAAGGAAGGAAGGAAGGAAGGAAGGAAGGAAGGAAGGAAGGAAGGAAGGAAGGAAGCCATATTAAATCAAAGGCAAGTATACCTGTAATGCAAAAAGAAGCATGCCCTGGAAAAGCTTCTGTCCGTAATCTAATTTACCTTTCTCTCAACTCGTCAAGTCTGGGCAGCAGTAGAGATGTTCTTGAAGTCATTATGCTGACAAAACTTCTGGAAAAACAGGGTGAGGCCCAAATTAATGAGACCTTAATGATGATGTGATTGAAATTAAGGCACACTTTTTTAAAAATGTAATTTGCCACCTAAAAGGGGTTCCAGGGAGAACTGAAACTGCAGACAGCTGGAAGCCTGCTGGGCTTCTGATGAAAATGATTTTGGGGGGGGGGGATTCGACTCTCTGTCTCCATCCCTGGAGCTGCGAGACGCTTCTGCTTCTAATTTCATCCACACAACTAATACAGAGTAGTGCACCCAGCGTAGATATCAGACCATCTTCCTGAATTCCTTGGGTTGCTACAGTAATTTAGAAAGATCACCCTCTTTGTTTTTACAAGCATGCGTATGTATGAGCTGTGCCTAAAATTCCAACGAGAGGTCTGATTTGATCTGAGTTTCTTTGAGAAAAACAGGAGTAACTCACTCCTTTCTCAGCAGTCCAGCGTCTTGGCGCGTTTACCAAGGCGCGTTTACTGTGGATTGAGTCAAGACTTCCCGTAGACATTTTCAGGGCAAAGCAAACCCATCTCCAGATGAATTTCACACACAAAAAAAAGTTTGAGGTGGGAATTGTGCAGGAGGCAAATCTGCGGATGAGAATGTTAATACTTCCTTTCATCCAATTTGATTCATTCTCCGGTGCTGCCTCTAAACAAATTTTAAATTTCTGAAGTTGTGTGCTTCAAAAAAAAAAAAAGGGGGGGGGTGTTACTAGCCTAACAAACCCACCAAACTGTATCAATCTTTTCAACAAATCTTTTATCCTTTGTTGTTGTTGTTTTGCCCACTCAAAAGGCTTTTTTTTTTTTTAAGAAGAGACCTGTATTGACCCAAATTCAATGATTTTGAATGACTTGCAGGTATCCTGTGGTTAAGGGAATACTCTCTTTTTTTACCACAACGCTGATGCCACTTGCATTTTATCATTTAAAATCCCAAATGGATG